ATTCCCTCTTTTCGACACACTTGAATTATGACATCTACTGCACCCTTAAATTCTGGTTTACCATCCACAATTTTCATGTTTTGAATCCTGCAAGCCATTAATAATGCATAGTGTGAAAGTATTTTCACAACCATTTTACTAATTTAGTCTTGAATAATATTTACCTTGTTTTAGCAATATCAACTGGCATAGAAGCAGCAGTTGTTACTAAACCTGATATCATGGAACTTATAAAGTGCAATGTGATATTTTCAGCAAAATATCCTACCCAAAATAAATAAAGAAAGGATGTTATCCCAATGTAATTCACTGTGAGGGTAATTATTTGCTTATGTACAAACCAGTGTTAAGTAATATTTCTTTAGATTGGGAATATGATGCCAATTGAGCAGCATTTACAACCATAGCTCTTCCCATAGTTGGAACAGTACCTCTCCACAATGCTAAAAAGCCTTCCTCTCTGGCTATTCGAACCAATGCATTAAATGCATTCTTATAATTGCGTCTCTCAGCTAAAAATACAACATTGCTCAGCATTGTAAAACCCCTATCGAATGTTCAACCATCAATGGACATACCGAAAGGTAGTCTACCATCAGCAGTCATTCTAAAAAAAAACAGCTGTACTACCTATCAATGCTTTTACAAAGAAGTTTGGTTGACTGTCTCTTCTGAATATAAGAAATATTAAACAATTGTAGAGTACACGTACGTGCAATATTTTTCATTCAAGGAACATGTACTCACGAAACAATTTCAGATAGCCATGTATATATACCCAATCTTGTAGTTGTGTATGTACCCTGACGTAATAAGCCAGCAGATAAGCCAGAATAGAAAGCTAAGAAGCCCTCATTTTTTAAAATTGAGGATACTACACTTATAGTTGATATTCTTGTGCCGCTTAATTGCATTCGATTTTTTATTAAATCTAATGGTTGAACAAAACATGTTGCAGCCATTCTAGAATAAAGTAATCAACTGAATATAAACTTTCTGTCTTTTTTAATTACAAAGAGGTACTTGTCGATATATACATACGTATATATCAAATGTTACTTTACAATAATTTAAGTTAGTACTTTAATGGAAACAAGTGTTATTGATTAACCTTTATTTACGTTTCTTAATATTTAAATGTTATTTTCTAAAGATATATCTACAAAATGATTAAAAAAAAACAAACCCAGCTGTTCCCCCAAAAAGGAACTTTATTGAATTTGGCACTGTTTTTTGGTTGCTCATTTTGACAATATTGTATGACACAAATGGACAATCAAATGGTAATTCTTAAGTTATGGTTAGCTCAAAACGATTTAGAAAGAAGTACGATATTCACAAAACTTTAAAAGAAGGAAAAGATGTCGAAGTTTAATATAGACTGGCAGAGAGCACTAAAATAATCTAAATGAAAGATTATCACATTCTCGCAAAATTTCGTCCTCCGGTTACCGATACTAAATTCTATAGATTCGGTATTCAGCGACATCTTGTAGCATAAAACCATTTAGTATACCACATCTGATAAAGAATAGCAAATTCGAGGACTGTATAGATTGGAATTGCAACGGCAAACTATTGATAACGATAACGTCGATAATACAGAATTCTTTTGCAAGAATATTTGAAATTTTTCGCCAATAATTAAATTCAAGATCGAGATCTTATAATATTCTTAATATACCCACGCTGCTTACGTACCAACATAAGCGACATTAAATAGTAAAAAAGTTTTGCATTTATTATTATACCTGACCATCATATGGAATTTAAAATATTCATAATTACTACATCACGAATTTAAATTATACTTATAAATATTTAAAAAAATATGCAAACGCTCAAAAAGTAGAAAAACTTTCGTTAGTTTATTTCTCGACATACAAAAAATGTAAAACTAAGAATGAAAATGAGGGACTCACCCTTGCTGTGTGCTTCTAACACTTTTGGTTGCAGGTGTTGGAAGCCGTGACGATTTGAATTCAAAGGAGACACTGCTGAAAATCTGTAAAGAGAAAAGGAAATTCATGAAATGACTAATATTTTCATAATAATTTATCATTTGAAAGCAACTAAAGTCATATTTAAATAATAAATAAGTGGAACTACGTAAATTGAGAAAAAAATGTGCTACCGGTACCCACGCCAAGAGCTGACGCAATCCGCGTCCAAGCACGACAAAGTTATATCCACATATTTTCTATTTTATTCAATTTATTTCAAAATACCTACCACACACACTTTCCTCGGGCATCGTACACACTTTTTTTCACACTTGGGAACACTGAACACCACAAATTTACACTATTTTTAAAGAAATTGTTAACACTGTTCGGGAGCAACAAACACCGGCGACGAGGAATTAGCAACTGAAAAGTAGAGGTCATGTGATCCACTACGTACAACGTTTCCAAAATCAGGCAAGAATTCAAAATTATCGTAGAAAACATTTTTCGCGAAAAAGTTTCAGAAGCAATTGAAAATATTTATTCATAGATGTAAATTACCAGAATTTAAAATACGATTTTTTTTTTATATAAAATGCTTCAGAAGTATGCTAAAAAAATTACGAATATTCTGGGCTGTATATAGGCATATATGTATATAGACAAAATAAATCAAATCAAAAGGTTATATTAACGATATTAAATGCATTTTGTTTTTATCATACTTTAGTTTGATGAATTTTTTATAATTTTCACGAAATTATACATGATAGTTGATCGAGATAATAGGCCGTTCTAAACTAACGTAGTTTCTTACCGCGCACGCATCCTCTATTAGTTGCATTACGTGTGTGTTATTGGGTAGGACGCTTACCGGGATGCTGCGGTCAGAATTTATAAAAAGGGCCGAGAGAAGCGTTGTTTTTGTGAAAAGTGTATTAAATATAATTACACAACGTACATAAAGTGTCCACAAAATAGTTTAAAAGAAGAGAAAGTTGATATATCGATCGAAAAGTAGAATATGTCGTTACTATTATTTCGCGCGCGAATGCAGTGAACGTTGCTCCGTTCTTTCGAAAATTCTTTCGGTTAAAAAACGCTTTATTCGACGTATTCGTATAAAGTATATGTAGATTCAGCGTTGATCGATGTGTAGCTTCAGTGCTTGTGATATAATAGTTGAAAGGTGGGTAGTTTGGAAAAATTTGACGATTGCTATCGAAGTGTTGGCGCGTCATCGATTTACGATCGAAATCCTTACGAAGATTGCGTCATTTTCGAGGGAATCATCTCTTAAAGGTAAGTATTTAATATTTTTTTTCATATTTCACTTGGTAATTTGACGAATATTTCGTTTCGAAATCGGTAACGGTTAACGTTCGAAATCGTTAGTTTAAAATGACGTAGAAATATGGCGAATGATAGAGACGCTCGTTTTTATGGAAAATGGAAACCATTTTTGCGTCACAATTTAATCATTTTTTAGTAGTGAAAATTATGCAGTTTCACACGTTCCGTCTATTTTTTAACGTTAACTTCACTTCCACAAGTGTGTTGTGAAATCATTTGAAAGTAATATGCGTGGGGCATATCGAATAAAAACGAAATTCGAGTTAAGTGTTTCGGTAAATATTTTTATTTGTTTTGTTTTTTATAACGAGACGAGTAAAGAAAGGTTGCCAATTATACGATGCACACTGTACAGTAAGCAGTTAAGAATATATACAAACGGCAATTATTTGTGAAAAGTTGGTAGGCGTATTTTAGCCGTAAAAGCATTATTTAAGATTCCTCAATTCGTTTGCTAACATTGGTACTTTCAAGATCTCGTCACTCTCCGATAATATATTTATAAATATATTTTGTCCCTTAACACATTTGTACAATATTTATATTTGCAACGGATACAACATAATTTAACAGTAAAAACGCTCGCGGAAGAGTCGATCTTTTTCCTCGACAATGCACAAGTTTTTAAAATTATTTCATTCGTGCACGGTACGTATACTTTTACCGGATTTAGAGTGAGAACAGCGCGATCTCGGTGTTTTGTAACATGATACTCTAGAAAAGATTCAACGGAAAAGTACGGGCGTAAACAACGTATGTACGTATGTACGTAGAAATCGTACCCTTATATTATTCTCCGCGATATTCAAGGATGTTGAGAAAAATAAATATTTATTTTAAGGCCGTTGGTTCAAAAGTTTTCTAACTAGTTTGGTTTTAAAAAATGTACGATAAAAAATTTAACTAAGTTTAGCTAAGTTTTCGATAATTTCATATCTTGTTTGCATCGTGGCATAAACTTACCAACTATATATAAGTTCATATAGGGAAAAATGTAAGTATATGCACATGTACGCGTACATGTATATATTTGTATTTCTTTCTTTTTATATTTAACACGAATAACAATATCTTCTTTTTTCTTCACTTTAAGTCTAAGAGTGAAATTATAATTGTACATTTTTGAACATTCGTTTTCTTTCAAATTCGTCAAGTTCGAGCACACTTTGTCCCGGTGTGCGTTAAGAAATAATTGAATATTTTGTGCTTACTGACATTTTCGTACACGTTAAAACGACGAATGTTTTCTTCGCAGTTACTCGAAGAGTGTAAAAAGTAGTAGAATAGGTGAAGTAGGTTAGATAGTATTACAATACGTTTTTAGCTTGAATTATAAGGTGAGGAGCATAGAAACAGTATAACAAAATATATGAAATATTTATAAAACAGCTGCTTTCATTGACATTTGTGAAATTGCGATATTATAATAAATCTAAATATTTCATTTCTCATCTAATACTCACGTTACATATATTCGATTGATGTGTTTTACAGTTTTTGGTCTTTCGATGGTTTAAAAAGTGTTCGTGTTGCATTATTTTCTCGTGTTCTCGAAAGAGGAGAATATACAATATGTAGCTGAAATGATTGGTCGTTCCATTTCGTTTTTTTGTCATATACGTATGTATGTATATACGGATAATAGATTTCGATTAATGCTTCACAAATGACGATGAAAGGTGAACGAATACAATTGTCGTGCATGGCCAAAGCCGTGCCTTATCACATATTTCTCATAGCGATATACTATTTACATTGAATCCGTTCAAGAAATACTTACAATTGGATACATCTCGCGCGTATAATAATTTTATACGATACATTAATTGTTTTTTCCTTTTCTTCACATCTTCCTACAATGTATCGTGTGTCACCTATTTTTGGAGATTAACATCCTTTTCTTTTTTAACGCGATGGTAAATGCTCCAATTATGGCTACTTTACAATATACACTAGCAGCTAATTTGGACGTCGGCGGATACATCGAAATTTCTTGTGCACATTATTGCTACGCTAAAGTTTCAAATTTCCGGTAGCTTTTTTTTTCTTTCTTTTCCCTTTTCCTTAAAGTCTTCCCGTTTGGAGAAAAGACTCCGCGGTATGAAACGTTGAACGAAAATAATAAAAGTTTTGCCGATTTACTTGCAGCAAAGTCCACGCGGAAGGGTATTAACAGATTGAACGAATCACAGCAACACGTATGTATGTGTATGGAATGACCAGAAGCGAAACTTTCCCCCGAAGATAAATGGGTTTTTCGAATCGGACAATAAGGGTGGAGGACACTTGCTCTTCTTTTCAAGTATTTGCAAAAAGAAGGAACCGACGTAAAATATGTGAACACTTAATTTCGCACCTATGGTTTGTCACCGTGATATGTTTGCGGAAAGGTTCAGCTATCGAAGGGATCGAATTTCAAGGAGCGCGATTCTGGAAGTCGGCGCAGAGCGGTAAATGGTTGATACAAAGACGCGTTATCGGCGTCACCGGCGCTAAATCGGTGGGGCAATTTGTTCTCGGGATCCCAGCTAGAGTTGGTCGGTTTGTATAAACGAGGAATGTGCCGTTCTCCGTAGACGAAATTATTGTTTCCTGGAAGAGGGGAGACGGGCTTGGAGGTTGATTAATGAATTAAAACGGTGCGATCGGAATAATTACCTTGCGAGAGGGGGGGCGAGTGCGGCGGTGTCCCAACAAGAGGCGACAGGGGCTCGTACGGCGGCGGTGGAGGAGAAGACGGAGACGGTGTCGGGGAGGGTGGTTGTCTCGAGAGGGCGTCTGGATCGAGTTCGAGAATCCTGAGGACTCTCTGAGGATTTCCTTTAACCCAGGATTCGAACAAGTCGGCGGGCCAGTCGGTCTGCGTAGACGCGTCTAACATTCTCGTCGGAGGATCCCAGCAGATGGCATCCGGAGGGTGAGACGAGCTTCTCGCCAAAACACCGCTTCCACGGCTCGCGGGAGTCGGTAAATTCGGATTGCTTTGAGGCGAACAGGCTAGTACTTGCAGAGCTTGAATCGCGTTTCTCACCTATATAATTCCCGCCGTTTCGACGAGAAATTTGAATTACGCGGTGGTACATAATTCGATTGGATGTAATTTTTGCCGTGACGCGTACCTCGTAACTGAGGGTGGCGACGTCTTGATGTAACGTAGAAAATTGCGTATCGAGCCTTTCGACAGACCCCCGAATGTGTTCCTCCATCGATTCTTGAGCGATTACTTGAGCAGCCCTTCCTCTCACCAGAACTCCTCTTCCAGGTCTCCTCGCGTCTCGATACTCTTCCCTATTGTCGAGGTATTGTAAGATTGGTGTGCAGGTGAGAGAGGAAAGGAAGGGGGTGACGAACTGACCTGAACTTTGCGTGCCTTGGGCTCGAAGATGTGTGTAAAGGCGACTTGTTCGCTGGTGACAAAGGTGAAGTTTCCCCCTCGTCGGGCACATTTTCGTCGTCTTCGCTGATCGAGGGTAGCGTCAACGATGGTCCGTTCATATCGGACTCTTGCTGCGGGCGTATCGGAAAGAATATTTGGGTGAATCGGAATCGATACCGTAGAACCTGGAAATTTACCTCGGCCTCGTATCCCTCGCGTAAATTGTAAGTGAGATCGTGTTGTATGTCGTGTGCAAATTCGTGCTGGTACTCGGGGTACAATCGAAGCACGTCGACAAGTCCTTGCATATTTATGCACTTGAGATCACAGTAGGTTAACGCTTTAACGTCGCAACTCGATTTGACTATGACGTCGACACCTGTGCCACTTGTTCCACCCCCGTTACTACTGTGCTGCAGGTGAACGTTTATGTCACAGCCTACTAAATCGCCTTTGCCTTTAAACGAAACGAAACGAAACGGAAGGAGAACGGTGTTTGCGATTCGCATGTCTGGAGTGAAAATGAGAGGAGAATAGGGAAGGTTGGCGTGCCGTACCTAAAATCGCAACGACCATGTTATTCTGCACGACCTCCATCGAGCCGTTGCATAAGTAGTAGATGTACGAGAGCGCGTCCCCCTTGTGAATGAGAAATTCGCCTGGAGCACAAAAATTATTTCTAATGCGTAGAGAAAGCAGCTTGAGACAACCCTGGGAGGCAGCGTCGAATATCGGCAAACTTAATATTTCGCGATGCAGGTGCATCGAAACGTCCCCCCTGAGTTCCTCGGGAAATTGTTTCAGGGTCTGAAAGGACGGACGTTAATCTCGGCTAATTCTAAGTAGGATTATTTCTTCTTTACCTCGTGTATATCGATACCGTGGTTCAAGGACCACATAGTCTGGAAGTAGTCTTGCATCCGTTGTTTCAGCTCGTCGGGGATCTGATGCAACACGAAAAAGTCCTTGAGATCCCGTAATTTGGTTTGGTACAACGACCTTCTGGAGTAAATTCTTTGTATAATCGCCGTCACGTTACCGAACACCACGGCATGCATCAGAGCTGTAGCATACACAATGTCCAAACTTCCGTGAAATTAATTCGGTGTTAATTAACATCGTTTGATCGAGGGTGATTACTAACCACCAATCAGCATCGTACAAATAGAGAAGAACTTTTCGGAGAATGTATTGGCGGACACGTTTCCAAATCCTACGGACGTTAAGCTACTGCAAGTGAAATACAACGCTGTGATGTAGCTTTCCGCGTGCGTTACGTTCTCTACGGAAATCTTTAGTCTTTCTGCCAACGTGTGAATCCAACCTGAAAAATTCAGTCGGTCAGAGTTCGACAGAGATTCTCGTCTCTCGTCCTCTATCAAATACAAAGTCGACGTGTTCTTATCGCGAATATCGTTCACAAGTATGCCAAAGTCGATCAAATTGTTAGGGGACAAATTGTTTCGCTCCCTCCGTTTACTTCCAAGTAGGATACTCTAACGTGCACCGTTAGAAGCTGGATGAAGAGGTCTGCGAGGCAGCATCGCGCATTCTTTCTTTTAACGAGACCTTGTTAATTTACGCCAAGAGATTAGAGGGCAAGGCAAGAGGAAACGCGTACGCGTCCAAAAGGGAAAAGGAAAGAAAGAACTCGGTTTTGTTGACTTGTAGGCATTCAAGTTTCTCGCGGAGATCCAATCTGAACGGTGAACTCAACTCCATGGACTTGTATTTTATAGAAATGCTGTCTTGTGTAAGAAAATCGAACTTACCGAGATCCCAATCATTATCGTTTCTTAATCTTTCTTTCTCTGCGATAACGAACCAAATGCAAGCCAACCAATGTGCCACCAGGATAAAAAATAGCATTAACATCGTCAAAATAACGGCACTGTACTGCGAATATCTATCCATCTTTTGAAGTAACCGCGCGAGCCTTAGTAATCTTGTTAATTTTACTAAATGAATGTTACCGTGTCCCGATTCCTATGGTAAAAACATGCTATTAATAACACGTGTCACGGGATTGTACATCGATACATCAAATCGCGCCATTCGTTTCTCGCTCTAATCTAACACCAATTTGTCGCCCCGAGGAATGTAACCTTTCGCATCCGATAACAATCCGTGTAATTACGAATTCTCCTGCGCTACGACTCTACCACGACTAGATTGTACCATTCATCGTGCATCGCGATGCGCCTCCGTATCGCAGCTATCCGCGAGAAATCGGTAGGTAGGTCGTTCAACTTAATAACACATATAATACATCGAGCTTTGCTAAACGAACTCTATTCAGAACTCGCTTCCAGATCTCGTATAGACATCCACTTTTCTTTCTTTACGAATCTGATAGGGTATCTAACGTTCGAGCAAACTGAAAGGTTGAGGAATCAATTCTCGAGTACACGTATCGGAATATCTCCCCCGATAAACGCAACTTACTCACCTCGCCGCTGTAAACGTCCGATGCGTAAAGAAAGTCGAAGGGTAAAGCTGCGACGAGATCGACGAAAAACCAGCTTTTTACATAGTTCACAGCGATGCTCTTGCTGTTGCTCACCACTTCTCCTTTCCTGCTAACGTACGTCGTTCGAAAGTTCAGAACGATATCTGCGGAAAGATCGTTTTATTCTTTTCCCCCTCGTTTCCGTCAATTGCCGGGCACGGGCGCAAGCATTACTCTCGGTTTCTGTTCCGAAAGAGACGCAGTCCCGTGCAACACCAGCGAAGGGCTATTATCGCCACATTCGCGACATTCTGCTATTATGCAAGACATATATGTATGAATGCATCGAAAACCAAAAGTAAATGCTCGCGTCTGGGGAAAACTGCTTTGAGCGGTGGCGGCAGGGTAAGGAGCTCCTCGAATCACCCTTCCCGTTTCAATTATTTTCCAAGTACACCGATCGATATGCCGAACAGGCTTTAGGCTTAGAATACCTACCGATTATAAAGAGCGCCTCGACGACTACGTCGCTGACCATCGTTGGCCTATCGATGTTAATGAAGCTCGCGTTAAAAGGGACGACGATTGCCACGTAAAACGTGGCAAGGAGTATTAACCAATCCCAGCAAGACTTGAAGCCGCCGTAATGGCTCAGGACGAACTGCGACTTTTTGATTCCCGTCGTTTTATACTCTGGTAAAGGTGCTGCAGTGGAATGCAGGAGATTCTAGAATTTTCACACGGAGAATAATATACCTACGTTTTGCTCCTCGAGTCGTTGCAAGTGGAAATTCTGCCACTTACATTGTTCAATTTTATTTTGTGCTTATTGTCCTGCTTGTAATGGCCTGATAATTGATAAAGTACGGCGCGACTTCTCCTCCTGCCGTAATTAGCCGGCGGTGCCTCCGGATCGAGACCACCGTTTGCGTCTGAAATATAATTGTACGTTTCTCCTTCCGTGCCGGTTTCAAGCTTCAAACGTCAAGTGCAAACAAGGGGAGGGAAGGGGTAGAGAAATGTATATTTATACCGAGTCGTTAAATATAAGCGTGAACGTTCTCTCTTCTCCATCTTCGATATTTACTTTATCGAGAAAAATATCTCTCGTTCTGAACGAAATACCTTTACGTAGCGTGTTTCTACATATGTAGGTCGATTTTGTAAAATGACTAACGCGTGCAATGGCATGACTATCGGAGGCTGGCTGGTTCTTCATTTGTGCTCTTTGGTGTTTTGCGTTTCAGAATAATGTTGCATCGAGGTTTGTACGTGCAGAGTGTTGCGTGATCGCGGTGTAGAAAGCACGAAACGTTGGATACGTTGGGAAAAAGTATGTACAGTGGGAACGTTTAATCCATACCCGATGTATGGTCCGTGCTCGGATACTTTGGAATGCAATTCATCAATGACGTCGATCGAAATGCATTCCAGAGAAAATCGTTTCGTCAGACTGGGTTCAGCGGCGAAGCTTGGCTAGAACTCACCACTATCGTGCAACTCACACAGCTGAAGATTCTTCGTATCGGTGATATCCTTGTGCGATGCCAGAAACAGAACGACGTCGCCCTTTTCGTTTTTGATCGGAACAATATCGAGCAAGCAATCGAACTTATTTCCTACGATCAAACACAGATATCTCGTTCAACCTACCTGTACCGTACGTGTATTAGATACCGATCCCGTCCAATCCCTAATCGGAATCTTTCGTTTCATTTCAATTCCAGATAGGGAGGATCGAACGCGAGGGGTAGCAAACACCGGTATCGAAAATATCGCCAGTTGGTGTTGCACAAATATAATAGAACATGATCGAATCGATTATCTTGATTAAACGTAGCTAGGTACTCCGTTGCACCTGTGCTCCTCGTGCGCGCGTTTACGTCCAATCACTATAATCATATTATATCGTGGATTCTACTCTTACCGCGTTATAAATCGCAAAGTGAATTTAAGCGAAACGCTAGTTTGAACAAGTCGAAGAATTTTCAATTTCGTGAATTTTTCGATCGATAAAGTTGCTCTTTAAGGAATCAGGTCGAACCAATTAGACGAGCCAATTAGTACGCCCATGGTAGGAAAGTAAATGAAAGATCGACGCGTATTGATAATCAGCGGACACCGGTGTCTGTTGTGCAAAAGCGTACCGTCCTTCTTATAAAACACAACTTCCATCTTCAGTTCCGTCTTGCTCTCGAGGCTCTTGTCAATCATCGCTCTTTTCTCTTCCTTCGTTTCCGTGCCATAGAGGAACTTGCAAGCGCAACCTTTTTGCATGATTTGCGCTCGCGCGAATCCCGTCAGCTCGCAGAAACCGTCCGAGCAATAAACGATCGGGTAGAGCGCCGGAACCTGCGCATTTCCCAGCACAAAGTTGCTGTCTGCCAACAAAAACGAATAATACTTGCTTTAAAGGGGAAAAAATAGATCGTGACGTGTTCGAAAAAGTGCAGAATATGTAGGAATTTCAGAGTTATCTCCCGATGACGCGACCACATGCTTTCAATTACTGTTCGGCGATACTTTCCGTCCTGTTAGAAAGAGGCATTGCGTCGACTCGTTGGTAAATGCATCGGGCAAGTAAACAAGATTTTGATAATTACACAGGCGTAATGCGCGATGCATGACTGCATCGTGTAGTACAGTTCATTGGTTGATAGCTTTGTCAACGCGGCTGACGTCACGCATAATCTCTCTCGGGGTAGCGACGGTACTATTTTTAATTTTACGGCCATCCCTGAAACACTTTCATCTTTTCTCAGCTTTGCGAGACTCCGACTCTCGACGCTTCCTGTTCTCGGAGCGCGTCGTTAATTTCTCCGCCGAATGTTGAGGTAACGCGTAAAGAAGCTCCTTTGTTTTTGTTTTTTTCGGTGAACGGGCACACCTGAACAGTATGACGGAACTTTTTTTCGCAGTTTGCGGAACGGATCATGGTGACTGATCATTAAGCCACCCTTTATGCAGCGCGAAAAATAGCGACGGTGGCGTGTTGGTTGGATAGGGAGTTTGTCTGCGAAGGGTTGTAAGATAAAAATATAATTTAGGGATAACGTTCGAGCAGCGATCGGCTCCCGTAATTTTCGTTCGTAGATAGAATTTCAGCGATTCTGTTGTCGAGCAAGCCGACTGTAATTTTGATGCTCAGAGGTAGATTATGGAGTTAATGTTCCCTCGGTTTGAAGAGATGATAATTACGCGTTTATCGTTGAGGCGAGGCGAGGCGAGGTGCGGTCGTGAAACGGTAAAAGATTAATTTTAGCTCTGTGTTGTACCCAACTGAATTTCGCAGCGTTTCCCCCTTTAATTAGACGTCCTATTCCGAGACATCTGTACACCTTTCTCTTCCTGTATATTTATTCACGCCCGATAAGTATATGTGTGAAATCACCGTTCGAATTTCCAATTCCACTGCACGTAGGTGCACCGACATGCGCAAACTAGTGGTCGCGACAACGACAGCGTTTACGTTCATCGCATCAGCCGCTAAAAGCGGCGTAAAGTTTCAGCCATAGTTTCACAGTCCTGTCTTGACGAAGACTAATGGAGTCGATTGTGTCGTGTGCATACGTAACACACGCAGAAACACGCGTCTAACGCAGCTTTCCGCCGGAATATCGCGTTGTAAACAGGGAAAACGTTCTTTCGCGCGAATCCCAGTGACGGTAGATCGCTGAAAGATACGATACACGAATACGCAAATAGGTTTTTGTTGCAATCGTCTAAATTTGCGCGAGGAAAACCCGAAATCTGATAAGTAAGCTGCGTCCGATGTAAATAATGATGGAATCTGGTAAATGGTGAAAATAGCTGCAGATCATGAAAAGCGCATCTTAAACAAATATAGATTTTACGATGGTAGCTCTATGCATGGGAGAAAATCGATTTATGCTTAAAACTGTGTACTCCTTGCGCACGAATTCTAATTAAACTTGAAATAACGTAATTACACGGCTGTGAAAGAAGAAACGCGGCTTTGTTAATTAAACTCGGCTGAGGTTTCAATTTTCTGACACGAGTAACGTAAATTTGAAAAATACAATTACCACCGGTCGATTACTCGAAAATGTGGTGTTATTTGGAAATGATCGAACGGTAATTCCGCGTGGTAGATCGAAACGTGAATTTCTCTTCTCTCTAGTTGTTCGGCTGACCAAGAACGATACGATACGATACGCGAGACCGGGATAATGAAATAAAATTCAACCGTAATCTAGTCGCGTTCAACTAGCGAATATTTTCGGGAGTGTAAGCGCATCCGGCGATAACTACGCGATCAAAATAATTAAGTGGATATGACGGTGTGTCGCCCTGCCTGTTGCGGTTTACGCGGCTCAATATCCGTCCTGCTAGATGCATCGACCAGTTGTATTTGCCAATCCTATTTTCATCTTCCGTTTATCTCGATGTGCATTTGCGGCATAAAAACGCGATTTCGTCCTCGTTGTTGGCGCGATGTACAAAAGGATTAAGAAAACGTGATACTTTGTTGGACATTTTAAAACGCGTCGAGAGTGGTTTGCTGCTCGCGTGGTAATGAAAATCTTGCATCAACGACGGCGATATCGTGGCCATTATGGATTAAAAGTTGGTATTACCCATACATGTCGACCTTGCGCTTTTCATCACGTATCGTGGACTCTGCTAAAGTTCGTGTAAATAAAGGGAGAGCTTGTGCCTTGTATTTTTTCACCCCAGGAACGTTGCGCTCCTAATCTTTCGTACACCCTCCGAGGCAGTTTCTCTGGCAATCAGACCGATAGGATCGTAGTCGATACAACTCTCGGATAGGACGCTAATTGTAGAAAGTAGAGGAAAGTGGCTTAATCAAAGTTGAGAAAATCTAGCGGTAAATTGTATCGGCTCCTTTTCAATACAGTAGAGACCTTTCTTGTATTATCAAAGTCAAGATCTCAAATCACCGGAGCATGTTCAATTAATTCTTCCCTGAATATTGTCACGGATGTAATACTCTTGAAAGGATTGCAAGCAAAAGTTGACCTCCATCGGAAGTCGAGCCCGCAGTCTCCTTTTACATTCTCTAGCCGAAAATATTCTCCCTCGGTATAGAAACATTTTATCCCGTTTCTAGCACTTGCTCAACGTCTTCGTGTTACTTTTTCCTTTTCAAAGGTTAAGCTCCTATTCGAGTCACTCGAACCTTGGCATCCTTGTAACGTCGTTTTCTCCGACGTTCTTTATCGATGGTCTGTAATCCAAATTTGTTTCTTCGCACGACAAAATCCGCGCTGGCTAAGAGCGACACTTCGTATTTATAATCTTGGTTCGTCTGTGCAATTTAAAGAGGAAGGCTGAGAGACTCGTTACCAGCGGAACTTTATCACCCATGATTGAGGTCGGTGACGATGGTAACTTAGCAATTTCCACCGAGGTCGCGGTGTACCGTTCTCCCTAATCGGATTTCTACAAAATTTCGAGTACGTGAGATGGAACGGTCGAGTTCTGAATCCGTCGTTTAAATTAGTTCATTTTACAAAAGTCTCCGGTGGAGACGATGCGAAAACACAAAGTCCAACGTTCTGCAAACCGAATGCCGCTGGAACGACGCGACGAGACGCGACGCGAACAATTGGGCCACTTACCGGAACCTATCTTTCCCAATAGCTATTTCGTCCGTGTACCGTGAAAATAGCAATTCAGTAAGATTCAAAATACGTTTATCTTTCTTACGGTCGAGTAGAATTTAATTGGCTTGGTTTCTTCAACTACAGCTACCTTTTCTCCCCCGCATCGACACAAGTATTTAACGTAGGCAAAATGAAGAAAGTTTGGGCTCTCTCTTAAAAAGCTGCTTGAAATAAAGGACGATTTCTATTCACTCGTCGATGTCTGGGATCTCCTCTTTCACCTCGACGGGTTACCTCTCCCCTTGCTCTAGAATGCCTCCCTTAGACCGGTATATGAAGAGATTAAGCCTGGCAGTATCAAGTCTGCTGCCTAAGGGAACCCATACCGACTCTCTCCTTTTCGCTATCGAGTAACTTGGTCGTACTCTTGCAGAAAAAATTCGTTCATCGTTTCTCCCATTCGTCGAATGCGTTTTGCAGTTGACTATTTCTTCGTTGTTAGTGGTTTCATTTCCGATTTATTCCTGTTGGAACCAGTTCACGCGTTTACCATATACTTCCATTGTGCATTTCCCGGGAACGAACTGCGTCGTTACTTTTCGTCACAATGTTGATTGTCGCGATAAGATAAGTGTCGTTGATATCGAGCAATCGTTATATGCCGCTGCGCCGATCAATACCTGAATCTTCGATAGGTTCGATGCATTTTTCCCCTATTCCTTTCCACTTTCTGTTCTATCTCCCGATCGATACCAATTTCGCGCAATTAAGCTGACGGAAAATTAAAGATGCAATACGATGTTTGCTCACGTGTCGCTCGTAAACTATTCCAGGGTATATTTTGATTGCGTTCGCACAAGGTTCTCTAGGCTGTGGCTGGTTCTGTTTTCAGAAACTGATCCATGTTGGGATTTACGCGTTCGTACAAGTTTACTCGATGTCGCATATCAATCCTAACTTTGAATGCAATTCCTAGACAGGCTACACGCCTATTCACTCGCGAGCCTCGTGAAATTTACCACAGCGTGACGTTGCGTTACAATTAATTCACCGTGGTGGCGTTCATTCGCGGTGGAGGAAAACTGTTGTGGAAGTTTTGAGGTTTCACGGTGATACGTAGCTTCGACTACGTTGGAAGTTACTGTTAAATATACGCGCATAGGTGGAACACTTTGCCGTATCGGTTACATCCCGATTTCTCGTCTGGCGTTTGCTCGATCGTTACTACTTGAGAGAAACGGGTTTTGCTAACAGCGTGTCACCCGCGTCGGCAATTCGTCCGTTTGATGCTCTGTCGGGGGAAGAGAAAGTAAAAAGTTTTTCTACTTTTTTCGCGAGATAGCTCCCCGGAGGCAGTGGCGGATAAATCAGATGTTCCTCGACAACAGTGTTTTTCTTTTTTCTAACAAGTCCTCTGTGTCCCTTGTGAAATTGTCCCGTTTCGTTCCCCCGACTTGGCAAGTCCCTCGATAATTGTCGATATTCTTCTAGCGGAAATGAAACTAAACAGTATCCGCGGATAATAAATAGGTCATTCGGCATCTGCAAAGAGATTTACCTGGCCGCCTTCACTTTCGTAAAACAAAGTAGGTTGTTGCATAAAACTTGAAACGAAATTCCGCATAGAATGTTTTCTGCTTACTCCGGTAATAGGGAAACACCGTAAATCTCAGATTACCGGGTACAACAGACGAGAAATTAATCATCTTTTACGATAGAATCTGCTACATTGTTTAGCAAAGTTGTTCGTGAAACCGCGGATACGTGTGGTCGCTGTAACCATGTTTGCCATTTGAAACGTGGCACGAATACGTTTAGACAAATGTTCACGGAGGTGTCCCCTGATCGTTCGTTAAGAAGAAATTAATCATCTTGAATTCACGTTTCACCGGAGATGATTCAAATAAAGAGAAACGAAATAACCTTCACCGGGTGTATATCGTCGTTGTGTTTAGCAGAATGGCACCCCAAGTAAGTACGTAGGCAGGTAGTATAAAGTCGATTTTCACGGCGTCGATGTTAGATTAATATTCTATGCCCCGTCTGGGGTCGACGGACTGCGTGATAAAACTGGAGGGCATATTACTCAGAATTCATACCCCACGGCCAAGGGGGCTGTGCATCTCTGCACCTTAGCTATAGAAATACGATGTCGCTACCAAGTTTGCCTTATTTGAACTTGCATCAAACTTGTGCGATACGTTTTTGTCCAGCTTGCAAATTACTTTCTAATTTGAAGCTCTTAATACGGATAGCTGAACTGAGCAGGTTCCTGAAAGTTTCGAACAAACTTGTACAATTGAGCTGTATTTCGTTGTGGTTGGTTGATTCTTTTATCAAAATGTTCCCTGTCGAATCGATGAAACAGGCCGCAGGTAGGCGCGTAAAAAACCTGGCTAAAAGGTCCTCCATGAGTCTTGGTCAGCAAAGACAAACGAGTGTTTGAACAGTTGTCAACCATCCTCTACCCCAGTTGGCGATGCGCCAAACACGCTCGGAGAAAGAAAGAGAGTGCCAAAAATATCCAGGGATAGGTACATACTTGGAACGTCGTTAACGAGCAATTATTTCCCTTTTCTCCCAACGAAATCCGAGTGTTCACAATGGAAAGGCCACCAACTTCGATCCATGCGAACAACGAAAATTAACGAAAGCGAGTCGAGTCGATGTCACGCGTGAAAAAATTCTTCTCAGCGAGGCTATTAGAGCGATAGACGTCGAATGAGCGAAGGCTTGTTCTCGCGAAATTACATTACGTCGAAAGAGGCGCGGGATGTTTGTATTTTCTGAAGAGCGACCGAGTTTGTGGAGAAACTGGAGTATTTGGTGGAACACCAAGATCGAGCGTAATAGTATAATTCTAGGGTCGTCGTATCCTCTTGAAGCGACGCGACGAGACATCGTTCTATAACGACGCGATTGCCTCGCAAGCGTGGTAAACAAGCAAGTAGGTACTCGGTACTTGATCGGTACTCTAGGTAACTTGGACTTGCGCAAACATAGTTTTAGCGCAACTATGCGCGAGCAAATCGCGTTTAGTTTGTAGGAGATGCATCTTGACAATGCCTACGTGGTAAGCGAGGAATCGTGAAAGATTTATTCATTTCGTTTATTTTTCAATTGTGAAACAAGTGTCGGAGCGAATACGTTAGAGCTAAGCAGCTTTAAGCGTCTTAAAACTGTAGGCCAAGTGTCGCTGTAAAATTCATTCTTACGTAAATGCTAATACAATATTGCGCAACTGTCGTGGTACACGGATGAACGACGTCCCTTCTAACTTTGAAAAAATTAAGTAGCTTATGCAAATGTATGTAATATAAATTAACCGGTTAAAAGTGAACGCCTTCTATTTAAATCGTCCAATTAAATGAAAAGTGTACCGGAGGAGATTAGCTGGATCGACACGGATGCAATTTCGTCAGCATCTCGACAGAGGGAAAAAGATGCGATTCCATTACTTTCCGCGAACGTAACTTTCCTGTAATTCTCTTACGACGACGATGACGACGATTCTCGTAATTAGTTTTTCCTGGTCTGCAGGCCCCAAGTTTATCACGGTGATATCGGTGGTCTGCGAACTTTGTATCTGTCGCACGAATCCATCCTAAAATCGGTCCTCCTCCGAGGGATTCGAGCGGATAAGATTAAATGCAAAACTCGTCCCGCAAGATTGCTCGGATGCTGCTGCTTAAACATCTGAACACGGTCTGAATTCAATGCACGCCTAATCTCACTCTCGTTTAAACTCGGAATTTTCCAACACTCGTACATGGAACTTTGAACGTTTGGCATTTTTCTCGGCCTGTTGTATCAATTTTATCAGATATTCGAGGAGACGGTTCGCGAGAATTTCTCTTCGGATTACATACTTTTTTCCTAGAGTTGAAAACTCCAGCTGTGTGGCATAAGGGGAAAGGCTGAAGATAACTACCCGAAGGTAGTCCCGAGGGAAGAGGTTGGAACGGCCGATGTTACGAGAGATGATCTCGTTCGATCGTTCTTTCCACTGTTTCGCGAAACAGCATTAAGCGACGCGTACTCACCCTCGAGACAATTCGGTTTCGCGCGTTGTTAAGTATCGAGTGACGCTTCGGTATTAATTTACCGAATTTAATTTTAGTTGTGTCGCGGAAGTGAAATGGTCGAGACAAATTTCCCTTCTACGAAAGATCTCGATGGTACGCGAATAATCTTTTGACGAACGGTATTTCTCTCGGTAAAATTGAAGATTCGCCGGGGACTTTTCGTATTGACAAATCGTCCCGTTCTATCTGGAAGACGCGTAAACGAGGGTCGTCTTGAAATGTCGGGATTGGGGCTAATCGAACGGCGTGATACTATGATTCGTTCCTTTACACCCCTGGCAAGTTTACGCGAATAGCTTTTGCCGCGTGATCGGAATTCTATTGGTTATACTTTACTTTATTTACGTTCCACACAATTCCTCCTTCCTCGGTACATACATATTTTTGCACTTTTAACAAAGGGAATTTTTCTTTTTCTGCTGATCGATTGATTTCTCGTGAATATACTTACGGGTTCCATCGAAACGAGTAGCGATAGTATCTAAGAAAGTGTTTTGTGGGGCGAGGAGGCCCTTCCTGACCGGCATTGGGGCCGCCCCGCCGCGCTGTCAGGCGCTCGAATCTGCAAAAGAAAAGAGAAGAAATATCGTTTGAGTGAAATGCAGGTGATTAGGTACTCGACGTAAGTTCAGAAGCGTGCTTGAGGCTTGAAAATGGTTTAAGTCTTCGATAGGTAGGTCAGTGGTTCAATGAAAATAAAGGATTGCGTGTGGTACGGTAGTTGCGGTGATAGATTATTGCAGCATAACCAAAGTAGAATGAATCTATTTTTAATTCGACCCAAGCTTTTCATTAAAAATCTACCCGAATTTTTACCCTTCCCTTTTTCGTTATTACAATTTCTCGTGTTCACGGGTAGTTTTATTGCCCGCACTGCGAATTCCTTGCATTTTTTCTTTGCGTAAGTTTGCGAGTAGACACCGAAATGCATTTGCAGAGACAGGGGTCTCGTTGAGGAGGCTGGAAGTTGGTGATATTCATAGCTTTTCATTATTGGACAGTTCTATTGTTACTTCAGGTTGTTCAATGGTATTTGTGATTTCTGGAATTAATCCAACAGAAGTCATTCTTTCCTTTCGTTCGAATTATCTTCGTCTATATGCTATTATTATCGTAATAACACAGTTTTGCGCAAAATTACTCGTTCGTATTATTGCAATATTAAATTGTCGCGATGTCGTGTTAATATTCAGATATTAGATCGGTATTTTGTTGCAAAATCAATCAAGCATCGACTATTTTTGGCAACGAAAGATAATATTCGACCAGAAGAAACGTGGAACGAGGTTGAACGCTGATGGTATGTCGTCAATTTATAAATAGAAAATATTGCAATTTTCGTAAATGAAAAGTCCGACGGATTAAAAAGAAAGTTTCCGTGTACGATAGGAAAATATTTAAACGTATTAAAGTCACGAAACGATTAACAATTCTTGTTCGTTCTTCTGCTTATTGTCAGTATGTCCAACGTTCATTTTAACTCGCGTCCCAGCAAATGCAATTATCTCGCGGATTTTTTTTTTGTTAGAAAAGGACTCGTTGAGGGATTAGCGTGCAGTTTAATTTTTTTGCTGAAACTATAGAGGGAGTGGAGGATAAAATCTGGTTCGTTCGTAACGCTCGGCGTAAATCCATTTCCCTCTGAAGATTACATGTGTTTCCTTCGACGACTATAAGACAAATCAGCATCACCGTATAGCGATTCCAGCAATGTAACAGGTGCGAGGGCAGGATAGAGCAGAGGATGAATTCATTATGTGCTTATCCTCTTGTGCGAAACCTCGTTTACCGCATTTACCGCTTTAGGAAAGTTAAGTGCAGTGCTTTCGACGAACTGATTCGACCACGTTCCAAGGGCCGACCATTTTAACAATCTTACTCGTACGTTGTTCCTTCGCATGTCTACTCGAAATTTCATCCTACGAAATGTAACATCGCGATCGTCGTTCGTTGGTGCAACGTTCGAAATTACATACTTTCGGGGGAGGGAGGAGGTAGTCGGAGCTGTAGAAAGAGCATTTTAGTCGCGGTGAAAAGCACGTTACGCGTGATACGATTAAATACAAGTTGAAAGAACACGGTGTAGCTTTGGTGATTGGCTTAGCGGCACGTTTACGAGAGGCAGGTGCTTTACGCGAAATGTTGCATAGATAGCGAGCGATACAGACCTTATCGAGAATAAAAGTTCCACCTCACTGGCAGGACATACTGTGCATTGTATCGAGAGCACTATGTACACCTATTTTCGTATCCACTGAACACGTTAGGAGGTAGCCGCGTATTTCTCCCGTTGCGAGTTCGATTCGAGGTTTTATCGCGACATCACCGATGAAAACGGGAGACACGCGGAACGTTCGCTGGTACTCGCGTTACTGACCGAGCTGAGGGGAGAGATTCTCTCTATCCTGATGGCCCGGGCTCCTGGCTGACTTGCGCTCCGCGCACCAAGGCGCAACATGTGGTAAACCGTTGAAGGTATACACCAACACAGCCACACGTTTCTTTATGTGTAGCCACATACATGGGTCTACTCTGATAAGTACACTAACGCAAAACCGTGTAACCTGCATACGCACGCGCGCTGATCGTTTCCAAACGCGTGTGTACCGCGAGCTGTGAAACAGGGTCAAGACTCCGAGCGAGGATCAAACATGTTGGCGCACAGTCTTCGATAATTATTTCACCCTCCGTATGATTGATGGTTTCTCCATTACTCGATGAAAAATTCATTCGCTCTTTCTAATTCCACTTGGGCCTTTTTAATTGCGTTCGGATAGTTAACGATGCTTCTAAATATACACACCAGGGGTATATTAATCGTAATGTTCTCAACGAGAAAGTAAACGTAGCTTTCGATACATTCCCCTTCGGGTGAATCATTGCGTCGAATTTCAGTGCTTCGTTTAAGAGGGACTAATTCATCTCTTTCGTTAATTTTTGCAGCGGAAAGGGGAAAGTAGGATGTAACATCACTACGTAATACCAGCTTTTCGAGCAGAAGATCATTGTAGGCGTTAACTCGGTACCTCTTTATGGACAGAAGGATACAAAATCCTCGACGAACCGCTTAAGAGTCACTCGAAACATTCGCACGCTTTTCAAAACGTTTCGTTTGTCTCACCGCGAATCCTTTTTCATTGTAACACGAGTGGACCCGGAATATTTCGCGGTGTTTCGCTTCGGATGGCGGTAAAAAGAATTGTTCCGTTTCGTTGGCGTTAAAAATCACGGGACGAAGTGAAATATCGTGGACGGTAATATTCCGAACGTTATGAAAGTGGTGATATTCAAGGATATTTGATATCCACGTCTGCTGAGTAGATATGCAAAGCCATACTGTCGCATATATTGCTTTTATAAAGGAACCCATTGTTCCTTTGGAAGCTGCGTCACTGGAGGAAAAGTACGCGAATTTGCTTCTTGTCGTAGTATCGGAAATTTTTCAACGATCTACTATGCGAGACTTCCGTCTTATTTAGCCAGTTACGGTGGACAGGTTTTCCCGTTAAAAGTTGCTCCTTTTCGCCGGCTGAGCGGCGAGTGCGGAATATAAGTAGTAAGTGGCGTAATAAACGAAACGGCATTGTGGCTAGAAAAAGGTCGAGAAATTACCATCCAGACGATTTCGTGCACGGTTCAATCGACTTTTTCCCGACTTGATATATTCCTGGCGACCGCGTACGTAAATATATATCGAATGAAACGTTGACTCAGGTCAGTTTCGTAGTACTGCATAATGTGGCCGCACCGAAGGGGGTCGATGACTGTATTCGCGTGTTAGTCCCTCGTGAACAGTCCATGCAATCTGTAGGCGTTCCCGATATAGATCGTTGTTAAAAAAAAAAAAAGAAAAAAGGGAACAACCGCGTCGGCTGTTCCCTTTCGACGGTCAGGTGTATGTGTTGGACGAAACCACGTGTGACGCGTCAGACGCAACAAGAATCAGGGGGTTGAGATTAACGAAGAAAGATGGTGTCTCCATATCCTCGAAATGGATGTTTACTGCTGCTCAAGACCGTCCTTAAGATGCGTATTGCGTCACTGTCTCGTCCTGGAATAAAACTTTCTCCAGTTGGTTTATTCAAAGAATTCTTAGGCTTTATACTGAATTATTAGGAATGCACGCTTATTTATGATCAGCAGGACGACGAGTTAAACATTGCTTCGTGATGCTGTTTCGCTCACAGGACGGATGCGGGCACCTTTTACTCGGATGAGAAACGAGCTTCCTTAGCCGTGATGTATGTAAAAGGCAAATCCGACATGTCGGCCTATTTTTCAAGCACGAATCAAGCGTCGAATCAAGCCACGTCAATGTGCTCGCCAGAGCAGATCTCTCTTAGACGTAATATCAGCTTTTGTTACCGGTCTTCCATTTTCCAGAAGGGATTTCATCGATCGACACTCTCCCTTCTTGGTCAAACGTTCCTTTCGATTTCCTTCCAAATTCTCCATTTTTTTACCAACCGTTTCGACCCACGTTTCAAAGCCCACTTTATCCCGGTCGATCGTGGTCGATACGTTTTCTCGAATACAAGTGAGGTTTCTTTGCGAAAAAGGTTCGTATAAATCAGGCGAGATCAAGACCTTTGGTAAACCGCAAAAGTACATTTAGCTTTCCATTTTATGCCAACGAGGCATTGAACACGCGGTCTTAGCGGAGTTCCCCGTGTCGGGAGTAATGTCACATTTTAACAGACACCAGCACTCGTTCTGTCGGGTGTGAGGGGGAAAAACGAAAATAGAAAAGTGGCGTGGAAGAACACGTAGCAAGAAGCGCGATATTGATAAAAAAAATGTCTGTGTTGCATGAAAATTGTCAGTGTCAGTGGGTTATCCGGGCAGCACGGCGCGGTGTACAGACGGCGCGTGGTCACGAAGCAGGGTCCATATAATCGATACTCCACTACTTGGAGTACCTGACTCCGTAGGAAGGGATGGAGAAAAGGAGACGGATTGAGATAAAAAAGAGGCAGGAAAGTTCTAAGGGTACCTACACCGTTCTTTTCCCTCCTGCTTTATCGAACGCTCTCCTCTTCCTCCCTAAGGAACGCCGGAATAATAAAAAGTCGTACGTTCGTCTGTGCGAACGACTTTGGTGGAAAAATTAACGAGTCCGTCCCTCGGCGTCTTACTATTATTTTTCTTACAATTTCAATCTTTAAATTACACCATCGCTGGAAAGCGTTTCAATTGCGTCAAACAAGAAGGGTTCCCATTTCTCATACGACAAAGTCTCACCTACTCGAAATACTTGTTTTAATTTCAACATTCAATGCACCGTGCCAGCCTCCCGGCTGCACTTCTGGGTCGCGGAGAAATTGCTTTGAGGTTAAAGCTCTTCTAAGGCTGAAGAACTTATTACGTCTTTGTGCAAACAGTACCATCTTCATACTGGCAGGAGTTTCCTATTGCGAAGATAACTGCGACATTAAAAATTTCTAATAATTCTACAGGACCTGGTAATACCTCTGGTAATATCTATTCGATCTAGCGCGACCAATTCCATCGATCGATCGATCACAGATGTCGGAGGAATCAATTGTAAATATCCGTTGAGAGAAGTTGTTTGGCTCCTCGTGATCCGGTGGGTATCTTTACCGTGGAACGAGGGCTGCGGCACATAGCCTGGTGACGTCTAACATCTGTAATCCCGCATCAGATACCGGTTTGTGTTCCCCAGTGGTGCCAGGTGCGATGGCCGGGCGGTACTATAACGAGGTAAACGGCTGCCGCATTGCCGATGTCGTGCCAGCCCCACGTAACTACGTGGGGTACGTGTACCCTCGTGCACCCACGCCGACCTCTGACTCGCTCAAGGGGTGGACGACTTATCGACCTGGTGCTAGCCAGGCCTACCACCTTCGTCTCACCGGTACTCGTTTTCCTAAATTTCTCACGTAACTGTTCGATCCCTGTATCCTATTCCTAGATCGATTTCGAATAAAATTTGAAATAAACCGATGGTAGATTTATCGTGGAGGGAAGATTAAAAAAGTGGAAAGCGTCGGAAGAATGGCCGTGTGTATTCTACTCTTTAGCCAGCATCCCGAAGATGAGGGAGAGGAGAGGGGTACCTTCGCAGTGTTCGACAAGAGGCCCTTGTCCTTCTAGGTCGTCTTCTAGAGTGTTTGCGAATCAGGCCGCGACCCCGCGTCGGCTGTGGTAGTGGTTGCAGGGGGTTGCGCGGCGAAATTAGAACGTTGCATTCGTGAGGGTCGTCGCTGTCTCGCTCCCGTGGCGGGGCATCAGTAGGAATAATACGAGGAACTATGCAATGTAGCCCGTACATAGGTAGACGCGAGTGTAACGACCTTACACCCCAGCAGGTAGCGAGATCGATGGGCTCCACAACTGGGAGCAACCTCTCATCCACAGCTCGTACCGTGTTGGCCTGTCCCACTTTTCTATCGCGTTTTAGCCTCGCACCTTACGGCCACTGCTTCTATTTGAAACGGTGCTCCGTTTCGACACTGCAGACAATGCCGAGACCATTTTCAAATAGACCAAATCGAGGGATCCTTCGTTCAGATCTTCGACTTTAGGAATAGCTTGGAGTCGCAATTTAGGGTAAATAAAACGTAAGCCTATTTTTAGTTGCTTAAAATATATTGTATACGATTTTCATAGCAGCGGTACGTTTTCGTCGCACCGATGATCGAAGTAATCGGACTTGACCGACAACATTGTGAAAGTTTTCTTCTCTTTTTTGTGTTTCTTTTTCCGTATGGAATACGCTAGTGTTGTATTGCGTGCATAATTGATATGGCAATCACTTCGCTAAGAAAGCAAGTGCGCTACTCACTTCGAAATGGAGTCGCGATTCATAATCGTGACACACACACACACACACACACACACACATACACACGCACTATAGGATTGTGATTATGGGAAGGATATGATCCTTCTGTGCAATCTATGTATAAATAATCCCACGATGACCTTTATAAATGTATGTAAAAATTCATTTTTTTTTTTTAAGAATTTCACTTTATAAAATAGAGCGTGCACTTTCGTATCCACTTATGCAAAATTCCTTCAGAAAACATTTTAAGAAACGCGACAAATCTTTTTCACCCGCTATAAGAAATAGTTAAAATTCAAAATAGCTCGTACGAGAAGTATTTACGAGATTCTCATTCAATGTACTTTTTCACGTAGTATTTTATAAATATAGTAGGTAAAATGCTGTAGAATAAGATCAATATTTTCAACTATCGAACTAAAAACTGTTCCCTATCATCTAGGACAATGTTTCTCACAAGGTCCTCTACGATAGTACGAATGTACAATTCCAGATCATTTTACCGCGTAGCCACTTCTCTTTTAATACTTATACTGGTTAATTACTAACAAATTATCACATGGTTCTAAGTTGATTTAATGTTTTTTTCCCCCTCCCATTAGTAACCAGTTTTTCCAATAATAATCTTTCTAAGACGGTCAATAAACCATCGCGACTCGCTCAACTTTAAAAAATTATCACATACACGTTACCAAATGCCATGGTTGATAAACTACGAAAATCTACATATCCAGGTCGAATATTAAGTCGTTCTTAAATTCTGCCTTAACGGAATCCTTGGCAGTTTCAGGGCTACCCGAATCGATTTCATTCGCAATCTCCTCCTCGACGTTCGATTTTCTCTTCGGCAAGGAATGACTATTATCGCTTGCTCCCTTTCGGATCTCGATATTGGCAGTTTTCTGTTGAGCCGATTGTTTCTCCTTATTAAGTATAGGTTTTACAGTCTCGCAGACTTCCGCGTTCTTTTGATTAGTTTTGTACTTGTCACGCTCCTCCGTTTCGGAGTTCTCGCTTTCGCTCATTCTACGCTCGTGAGCTCGCCGTTTATTTCGTAACTTACGTTGATTCTTCTTACGCTGACCAAGTATACTAGAGTTAGACCTAGAAAAAAGTTGAAGTGAGTTAATCGACGCACGCCGTCGCCGTAAAAGGAATTATCGGTGGGGTTTGCAAAAGCAACGATACCTAAATAATTGTCGCGATACTACATCGTTGAATCGCACTGTCTTCTTCAGGCTGGAACAGTCTGATTGAAAATGTACATCTTGTTCCGAATCGTAATGGTAATCGACGGACGATGCGGCCATTCCGTTATCATCCGCGCTAGATTCGGATACTGAACGTGAAAATTCGTGATTACGTCGCGATTTCAATATACCTTTCGAGAATGAACCTGTAATTGCACTATTACTTGTTTGTTCATCCCCGCTGCTCTCTGAAACAGATCTAGTCTTTGACAGGGTGTGACGTAAGTTTTCTCGACCGTTTATCGATTCTACACTTTGTTGTTCGGCATCGTCGTCCGAATCTAAATGATTCGGCGTTATGTTAATAACAACACCGTCGTCCTCAGCTTGCACGTCGATCGTTCGACCAATGTCCAAGTCGTTGTCTTCCATGGCCTGTATATAGTATCGGTATCGACAGTATGTAAAATAATTTCTACTTTCTACGATTGCTTAAGAAACTTACGGTTAACTGGTCCAGCTGGTTCTTAAACGACGTAGCAGTAGGGAAATCCTTCTCTTCCATGAATTCTTCGTCTATACCAACGTAGTATCGCGCCAAGTTTTCCGTATCTCTTAACGTTACGGTAAATACAACATTGTTATCCCACGGTTCGACCGTAAGGGAATCTGATTCTACAGAATACTCGGCGATTTTTAAGCACAACGAGTAATACTGCGGGAAAAATCCTGCGCCTATAGATGCTAGTAAAACGTGTACTCCTAAATCGTTCCGTAAAATTCTATGGCGAATGGAATTTGGGTCGACATTTTTCACATTTACGGTAATTGCTAACTGATTATTATAAATATTACAAATAAATGTTGGCAGTGAATACTTAATGCTAGGATCTAGAAATGTGTCTGTATTATCTGTGCTAGTCCGTAGTGCTGTGTCACTAGAATCATCTAGATGGTCACGTTGGTTCCTTAATTTTCTAGCTTGCACTGTTTCACATTCTTCAACTAGGCTCGAAGCAGAATCCAAAAGTTTGCTGCAGACTGCAGAATCTTCGGACAGCACTGGTACTGGGCTACCATGACCACTGTCAACTCCACTGTCTTCTCTTGCATCAGACATTGGCACGACGGGTCGAATAACCGGTAGTGTCACAATCAGCTTCTTGTATTTTGGATCGAACCTGGCATTACCCCAATCTGCGTCCACGCAATAAGGCAGTGGAAGTTCTAATAAATACTTTGCTGGTTTCTCACTTTTTATGCTAAGAAAACGTTCTCGAACATCTAGGGAAGCATCAGCGGGTGTTTTTAATAGGGGTAGGTCTACAGTGACGATTAATATCTTAGGTACTGTAGCATTCATTCTTGCATTTCTATTATTACTAAAATCCTCCAATTCTACATCTGACTGATACTTTATGGAGAACTTTGGTGTGACATATCTGCTATCTGTGTCTCCATTTTCCTCCACTTTCTCTTTGTAGTACGTCGTAGGTGGGGAGGGACGCTTTGGCATTGTCTCCACGAATTGTTCTTTTCTGCTCTGGTCGTAACTGGACATTAGCTTCTGATAGATCTCCGGATCGATGTCCAGTTCTTTTTTCGCTGGTTCCTTGGATGGCTTTCTGATCACAGTAGGATGACATACTCCTTTGTAATTCATCTTTGGAAACTTGAGATTCTTCCGGTCCAACTTGACCTAGCACGATGCAAAAGTGAGGAGGTTGAGCAGGCAGGCATGTTACTACGAAAACGGTCCACGATACTCACCTTAAAATTACTCTCCACCCCGTCCATGGCCGTGTTATTGACAATTTCTCGAAATTGCGCATTTTTCGACGAGAGATAGAGGGTGTCCGGATGAAAGACCACGTCGAACACCGTGCAACGTACGTTCTTCTTGTCAAGGTCATCACGAGGCGGTATCAGCGTATAGGGAATTGACCATTGTAATCCACGATGACCTTGTTCGAAGGAAGGCTGACTGCTCGGCCGTGTCACAATGTCGCTTTTACTGATGTTCAGGAAACATTTTCTGTCCCCGTTTACGCTGGTTTTTATGACGTAACCAGGCTCTGGGTTTACGAAGGTAACGTCGACGCCCCGTTCCTTCTCTAACTGCGTAATCTCTTTCTCGTAAATCTTTCTATTTTCCGGATCAGTCACCTCTTCGGCGTATTCGATCAGCAATTTACGGAACTCCTCCTTCTTCAGACACTCTGTTAAATTCTTCAACTCTTCCTTGGTCACCTCCAAATCTTCCCAACTTTTTCTACGCGTTTCGTATGCGTCCATCTTATAAAATGATGTTTACAAATAAACTCGTACGTAGAATGATCGCGAAGCGCTATACCACGTGGATGGTTGCGCCACTACGCCGGCCGGTTGAATAGCGGTCAGACACGGAACTTGGAAACGTTTAATGGCGTTCGCGCCATTTTTTCTATTGCCCGGTGAATACCAGTTTTTCAAAAAATACACCGGTTTCCGTTTAGAATACCGTCGCTTCCTTCGGATTCTCAGAGCACCGTTTTACCTTCCGTTAGACGGAAACAAGTCTATCGATCCTGTGCTACTTTCAGCCTGTTTCCATAGACACCTTCTTGCCATTTATTCCAACGAATAACGATGAAACAGAATCATCGCTGAGCAATAGACCTTTCACCGCGACGGTTCTATCGCGGATCGATAGGTGGATCGCAAAATTCAAAGCACCTCCAGCAACGAATCTGCATTTTGAACGCCGAGGGAAGATAGTTTATTAACACGGTTTTCACGTTAGGGTCACACGGTTAAACTCTTGGAGGGATTGGCTCGACGTGTGTGGATGGAAAAGCTAAGTTTCGCTTTTCGCGAGATCCACGGTTGGTGGGAGTTTAAGTGAAGATGTGGGGATCAAGCGGTACAGAGTCTCTGACCCACTGACATTCTCTTCAGTTACTTGGTAGACAGACAAACGTCGATAATCTGTGACTCGGAGTTTCGATGTCGGTAATCAGGATTACTGGTAAAAATACTTTTCGAGGAAAGAAGGTAGCTGCCCTCTGGTATCTTGGTTCGAGATGCGGCGAAACCGTGGCTTGCTGACAAGTGTCGTTGCTTGCTTGACAATTTTCTTCATCGTTTTCAACTCGAAATCAACGATAGAGATCGCGAACGATTCGGCAAGTGGCATAGAAAAGCCTTACGTTCGAGAGCAGGACGTTCGTAAAGATCAGGTGAATTGAAATTACAGATGTGTGGGAAAAGGGAATATCGAGTAATGCACGGGTCGAGTTCAGAATGCGTTGCAGTGAAAGTGCGTCAACGGAGGATGTAATTATTGGAAAGTAATCTTTCCCCTTTTACGATACCGTATGACCGGATTCACAAGCAATTGCTCGTAACAGAGAAGTTTTCCAATTCGAAGCGGTGTTACTCGTAATATTTCCGTTGTCAAATTCCACGACTAACACGATTTACTACGCAGAAATATCGATACGTTACACCGTCCCTTGCGGAACTGGCTGCCCGTGGAAATTTACCAAAATCGAACGAGCATATTTTAATGTTAACACGTGTGCCTGAAGCTGGCGGGGAATTGTTCGTTTTGATTCTGCAGCGTTTGCAGGGTTACAATGCGTTCAAGCACATACGATTACCACCCGGTGATCATGGACTTTTATCAAGTTTGCAAGAGGTAAATCTACGATGCGACCTTCTTCACAATTTCAAAGAGTTATCGTCCTCAATTCCGACGCTCCTCCACCGTTTTAACGTAGCATTGATCGAACGGTGAACAATAACGCGAGAAACATGAATCAGCAGCTGATTCATTGATCGCATAAATCTGCGGAAAATTTAATCGCACCGCGCGCGGTCGTTGCACTTTGCGTTCACGTCAGACTCGGTTTTCAGTGTTGCAATCCAAGTCGTGCCACTTTCGTCTTTCCAATTAAAGTAGCCAGGTGGAGAATTCCTATTTGGAGCATGTCTAGATAAAAGCTAGGGCGGGCAACACGAAATGCGCCACGAAAGTCGATAAATATTAAAAGATTCAACATATGTATTTCGAGTATGGTAATTCTATCGTGCACAGGTATTCTCCGCTATTTCGTTCCGTCCGTGCGGAAAACAGGGGTTGTTCGGTATTGTTCCTCTTATAAATAACTTGGCTGATATTTTATAGGAACTGCTAGTCGAGGAAATTAGCAATATCATAAGACAGGAAGCTATACCACTGAGTTTCGACGGAGACGTTAGGTTTTTCAATTTTTCAAAGTTCGGAAGACAGTCTCCTTCGTTTATCTCTCTAGTGAGAAATCCTGTAGGTGCGCATAATTTGCAGAGGTAAAGAGATATTCCATTTATCCAAGGACTCTATCTCATCAAACGTAGAACCGACTTTATCACAGAGTCAGAATGTCGCTTTTTCATTTCAAGGTATCGCGAAAGGCGAAGAAATACTCCCGAAGGTAGAGCCATACCTATGTTTTGTGGGCAAGATCCACGATGCACGTGAGTAATAATTAACCAATGGAATTTCTTTTATCTTCTTGTCTCTCTTCGTTACGCGGTGATTGTAGAGAGGTGAATAGTAAATGGGCATTGGAACGGGCTAAAACGAATATTATCGAATGGTATCCCGTGGTCGGGGTGTTGGACTGCTTGGAGCAGTCGATTGACCTATTCGAACGTAAATTTCCATATTTTTTCCGCGGTGCTAAACAGATTTATCAGAAAATTCGTAAGTAAATACGAAGATGGTACAATTAAGTATATTCGTAGTTAAGTATGTCGTTGACATTTAATCTCGTTTACTTAGAGCTGAAAAAGAAACGCTTGTCCGATCCTACGCTTGCGCTAAAATCTCAAGAAAGGTATACTTTCTATAAATATTTCGAGGACGAAGTGGAATTTTACGAATGGATAAAAATTCGACTATTAAACGCGACGTTGATCGACATCGAGGAAAATTATTATTCGTGAAACGAGAGACAGCGATGCCCTGATCGCATCTAGTTTCAAAATATACCAAAGACGATTATATCAAACATTTCTACGATAATGATTTTATACCGAATCGAATTTGATTAAAAAACTCTCTGAACAAAGAAGCACAATGATTATTTCTCCTTTCTACCTTACAATTAGTCGTAGATTTTAAATCCCATCCACTCGTGGTATCATCCACCTGGCGCCATCTTTCAGAGGATATCTAAGAATTACCTAACCTAACCTATTTTTATAGAATAATCTTTATGTACATATATGCAGATTTAACGAAAGAGCACCTTTTAAGTCTGTCGACTTTACCATCTAAACTCCGCTCTATTATCTTAAAGAGCATCAGATCGGTATTTCAGAACACGGTCGTTCGAAATGATAAAAGTCGGCTGTTATATTATATGAAGCTCCTATTATTTATTTACACTTTGCAATATTTCAAATGCAAGTTTCCAATATTGAGGCTGTTTTACAGTATAAAAACAAACGATAAATATTTCCTAACATTGATACGATAGAATTGACAAGTTACTTACTGGTAGAAACACAAGGCTTTCTTTATCTTTGCTTTCGCAGCATAATAAAACATATAAAAATATTTACTCGCGTCAAGTATCAAGTTGTCGATATAAAAATGTTGCTATCCGCAGCAGAAAATGAAATTAGGGAGGATCAGAAAGCGATTTCGATTGGTTCATACGCGCGTCGCGCGTACAACAGAACATGAATATCATGTTGATGTAGAAATGAACTAGCAACAACATGAGAAACCCCTGCCATCACTTTTTCTTCGCGTCCTTTAATCCAGCACCGGCGTTAAACTTAAAGAAAATGATGTCACCGTCCTCTACCACGTAGTTGCGCCCTTGCTGCCTGTATTTTCCAGCAGCCTGTTGTGAAAAGAGAATATTCACACGTTAAAACCGACGTAGAGCATAGATATACCCGATTCTCGCGATATTCACTTTTACTGCAGCTTCCGATCCTTCGTTCTTGAAATCGTCGAATTTCATAACTTCAGCCATGATGAATCCCTTTTCAAAATCCGTGTGAATTTTTCCCGCAGCTTGGGGTGCTTTCGTTCCTTTCTGAAATTGCAGAAATTCATCGGCAGTGAGGCGAGTAAATCGCTAGGAAAGTTCACTTCGATTTACCTGGATCGTCCATGCTTTAACTTCGTCGTGTCCCGCCGTAAAGAAGTATTGCAACTGCAACGCTTGGTATCCTTTGACGATGATCTTGTCGAGGATGCTGAAAACGATTCGCAAGGATATACATACGTACATATATAGAAGAGATTCTTTTAGCAGTGCGTCGTATTAGGAAAAAGGAGAAAAAAAAATGAAGTCCCGGTTGAAAGAAGGGGTGGTCGAGAAAGAGGACTGTGGAATATGATTGTCTCGAACCGAATATCGTCTAATGACAGGGTACAGGAAGGGAAGCCATCCTGCTCCACGGGCCCGACGAACTTCGAGGCTTCAGAGAATACACATAAAGCTGAACGACTTAATACCGCAATTTTATCACTCTAACTCTGTCCGAGACCTACTTCGGCGCCTCGGTTATCTGCGGTCTCGAAATAAAATCGCGGTATCTAGAAATCTTCCGTTTGTCCCCTGTGATTACCGAGTGAACCTATCTTAGACAATGATTAGGGGGGATGGGGGGGTTCGCAGAATTTGCCGAGGAATTTAGATTTCCTAACCATCAGCTGTGAGACTACAGGCATCGTTCGTGTGCACTGATTTAATATTCCCGTGTTAACTACAATTAAACGGTCTCTCGATTTTCGTTCCAACGAAACTTCTTCTAAACGTATACAGGAGAGATTTTCGTAAGCTGTGCTGGTTAGAATTTTTACGACGCGTCGTAAAAGGTGTACGTAAAAATCTTTAAAACGCGCGCAAACTCGGTCGAGTTTACCCTATAGAACATGAATTGGTTTTGTTCGCGAATGACCCACTAGCCAACTGAACCGGTTGATCCTCATTCCACTCGTCTCCCTGGTACCTTGTTCCCGGTGTGCCCGGGAGGGTAGGAGGGGTTTTTATGCAATTTTGCAAGAATTTGAATAGCTGTTCGTAAAAATATAATGCGCCACGGCAAAGATGCCG